CTGAGGCCTGAGCAGCTCACTACATCCACCGACTTGCCAAGGTGCCATGTAGCTTCCTTCTACAAGCAAGCTAGCTATCTCTGATCTCCTCAAGATCATAGTATACGTCAGTGGATCTTATCTTCACCCGCCCAATTCGGACAGACATGGATAAGCCTTATCAGCTTACTCAGAGTCCATCTTCGAGTGTGAAGCTAACTCCAAGTTAGACGGGCCAGTGATCTTGGACACGCATTGTGAGGCCCATGACAGTTTGCTTATATAAAGGTCTCACCTCCAGCCTCACAAGGCACAGCCGTTTTAGCTCTCGAATTCCCTTATACTCAAGCTCTCAACTATCTTAAATCTCCACATCACTGACTTAAGCATCAAAGTGCCCACACCGAGTAAAGTACCCCAGACACTCTGATTGCCTTGTTTTGCAGCTCGACCAGGTGGCATCTCTAACCCGACGTCCAAGTTGTCCTCTAGTAGGGATCGACCAGATCGCACATCATCATACAATACTAGAGATGTGCTCAAATATTTCCTTTTTTTGCATTTTTATACAATTGTGTGTTTTCATCTTATCTGATCTTCATTATTAATTAGTTAATTATGACATCAAGGGTCGGCACGTTTGACCTGAAAGGTTAAATTGCTACTCACTGCCAAGTAGGAAAATGCAAATCCATTTTTGGGTTGGTTTTCGATTTGTATTTTATTTCCATCATCAATAAAAACAATTATCCTTTGTCACACTTATTTTTTTAATATGGTTAATTAATATAAAATTTTAGAGATATATTCAAATGTTTTCTACATAATTTATATATTTTGTGTGTTTTATCTTTTTTAAATATATTATTTAATTATGACTTCCAAGGTTGACACATTTGACTTGAAAGGTTGAATTGTTGACTCGCCACCAAACAAGAAAAATAACTCCATTTTTTTATTGGTTTTAAATTTGTATTTTATTTCCATCATCAATAAAAACAATTAATCTTTTCCACACTTATTTTCTTTAATATGGTTAATTAATATAAATATTGGAGATATAACCAAAAGTTTTTACATGATTTGTATATTTTTTGTGTTTTTATATTTTTTAATTTATTATTTAATTATGACATCGACAGTTGATGCATTAAACCTGAAAGGTTGAATTGTTGGCTCACCATCAAGTAGGAAAACACAACTCCATTTTTGGGTTGGTTTTGAATTTGTATTTTATTTCCATCATCAGTAAAAACAATTATTCTTTGCCACACTTATTTTTCTTTAATATGGTTAATTAATAGAAATGTTGGAGATATAACCAAAAGTTTTTACATGATTTTTATATTTTTTAATTTATTATTTAATTATGACATCGACAATTGATGCATTTGACTTGAAAGGTTGAATTGTTGACTCGCCATCAAGCAGGAAAACAAAACTCCATTTTTGGATTGGTTTTGAATTTGTATTTTATTTCCATCATCAATAAAAATAATTATCCTTTGTCACATTTATTTTTCTTTAGTATGGTTAATTAATATAAAATACTAGAAATATACCCAAATGTTTTCTACATAATTTATTTATGTTTTTGTTTTTATATTTTCTAAATTTATTATTTACTTATGATTTTAAGGGTTGACACATTTGACCTAAAAGTAATTGTTGATCTACCGCCAAACAAGAAAACAATTTCACTTTCTGGTTAGTTTTAAATTTTGTATTTTATTTCCATCATCAATAAAAAGTTGAACTAATTCTCGTTTATCGTGTTTAATTTTTAGTATAAAATACTAAAGATGTGTCCAAATGTTTTATATAGAGTTTCTATAATTTCCATATTTTTGTATTTTTATCTTTTTGTCTAATTTTTATTATTTAATTATGAGATCAAGGGTTGACATATGTGACCAAAAGTTGAATTGTTAACCTGCCACCAAGAAAATAGTTTTATTTTTTGTTAGTTTAAATTTTTAAACTTTATTTCCGACATTAATAAAAATTATTATTTATCACACTTATTTTTCTTTAATATGATTAGTATAAAATATTAAATAAAGTGCCTAAATGTTTTTTAAAAAAACTTATGTATTATTACATAATGTTTTGTGTTTTTTATCTCTTTAAATTTTTATTTAATCATGATATCAAGGATTGACACGTTTGACTAAAATAATTGAATTGTTGACCCACTAGTACGAAAATAATTTTTATTTTTGGTTTGGTTTTAAATTTATATTTCATTACAACATCAATAAGAATAATTATTATTTATTATACTTATTTTTCTTTATTATGTTTAATATAAAGCATTAGAGATGTGCCCAAATTTTATATATTTTATTTTTTATATTTTATATTTTAAAAGTTTTATTTAATTATGACATCATGGATTAATCCATTAACCCATATGGTTGAATTACTTATTCACCCCAAATATAAGACTTAATAAGGGCTATTATGCTCTCACAATAATGGGAGTTAATATCTTAAATATAAGATTTAATGAGAGAGATTTTAATGAAGAAAAAATGGTTATTCAAATTACATTTATGTCTTTAGAATTTGAGAGGGACCAAATTCAAAATCTGTGATATTTTAGTAAAACAAAAGTTCTATTCCCATTCACACTTTTTAATAATAGATATAAATTAGTTGAAATCTTGATTTAACATGTAACAAACATTAGTAAATGCACCATAATTGAACTCTAAGGTGGCGTTTGATAAATCTAAAATCTGAAACCTGGAAGTTAAAAAGATATTAAAAGTGTTTGAAATCTGAAAATAGGTATAGTTGCTTTTGACTTTTAGAGGCTCTGAATAAAGAAGTTTGTTTGTGTTGGATCAAACCTTCAGCATCTAAAATTCATTGATTCTACTACTTTACCCCTAAAATAGGCTATTTGGTAATTTTGAGTTCGATTTGCATTATTGCATAAAAAATAATTTATTAAATTCAAAATAATATTAAAAAATATGAGTAAATTATAAAAATAAAAAAATTAATTTATTAAAATAAGAATAAAATTGAAAAATACATATCAATTTATAAATTAAAAATAAATTATTATGAGTTAAAATAATAATGCAAATAGTAATAAAGACCATGAAGCAATAAAAAAATTAATATCTTAAAAATATTAAATATTTAATGATTAATAAAAATAAAATAATTAATAATTAATGCAAATATAATTTATAAAAATATAAAACTTATTAAAATAGGATTAAAATTGGAAAGAACCAGCCCTGCTGCTGAGAGTTGCAGCAGCGATGGATGGCAGGAAGACAGGAGAGAGAGAGAGAGAGAGAGAGAGAGAGAGAGAGAGAGAGAGAGAATGGGGTAGAGGTATTTTTTACTTTAGGCCATATCTGAAACGTGAGCACGTTAAGTGACAGGCTTAGGTCTTATAATTTCAGATATGAAAAGACTTTTCAAATTATATTTCAGATGCAACACCAAATAAGCATTGCATCTAAAAAGCAGATATTTCAAACTTTAGAGATGTAAAAAATGTTATCAAACGCCACCTAAATATTAAAATCTTTTTTCAGTTTTATCCTAATCCTTGTACATTTCCAATCAACTGATATTGTAATTAACCATGATAGAATGAATAATGACAAAAGTAATGAGAATGTTTTATAGGACTTTGTATACTTCAATCTACTACCAAAAAATAAGCACAGGACATTCTATTGTTTTTGTCATTCGAGTATATTTGTACTCATATTTGTCTTGATGTATATCAAAGGGATAAATGGATTTTTATGTATTGGATTCAAATCCGATGGGATCCAGATTAGTTTTATAAACTTATTATCCAATAATCCATATCGGATTAGCATACTATTTCGATTCATTGACAGCCTTGTGGGGTGAATGTAAGTAATGAATGAAACAATACAAGATCAACGAATTCGGTTAGATGCCAATAATGAATGGGCGGTTTAAGAAAAAAGAAAAAGGTCTGAATCAAGTGAAGTCAAAGAAATATGAAATATCAAGTATCAAAACTTTTTCTTCTTTTGGTGTCGTTATCCTGCACCTCGCGGAAACGTCATGGCATTTCCCCATTACTCCCGATCCCCAAAGCGTCACATGCACCCTCTCTTTTATAAGCATCCAATATAGATACTAGACAGTGTTTTCAAAACCCGACTGGACTGGAAGGTTAGACCGGAAAACAGAGGTTCTGTTTCAGCTCAAAATCATTTTTTAGTCAAAAATTGTTGATTTGGTTAATGAATTGTTGATTGAGGCAGACAAAACAATTAATGGTCTTTGGTCAATTTTTATTTTTTTTATTAATTTTTATTAAATTTGACTATAAAAACCTTGGATGTAGATATAATTTCTCAACTTATCTACCAACTAAACAAGTCATCATTGCCTTTTCAGTTGTCTGCTAAGATTTTGTCTAGCTAGGTGCTCCACGTTCGGATATGCTGACCACAAGACGCTGGCCACAAGAGGGTGGATCACCGATCACCCCGCCTAAGAGTTCAGATTGGCGCTTACAGTCACAGAGTGTGTCCCACTCCCACACGTGCCCCACATGTACATTAGAAACATTTTCTTTAATTGGAGGGTGGGGGCAGATGTTCCCATTATACGTCGAGGATTTAGTGTGGGGCGTCCATGCAGATTCCCTGCCTAAACATCCTTTGAATCTCTCATAGCTAAAAACTCTTCCCACATCTCTATTAACAAAACCATAGGGTCGTGTATTGGGTGCACGACAACTCCCACGTTGATAAAGTATCTGGAAACATGCATTGGATTGGACCACGTAGTGTTCATACTTTGTGGTATTACTTAGATTGGACCACGTAGTGTTTATATATATATTTTGAGATAGGTATCTCAATTTTTTCGATTCTCTTGTTTCCCGATTGGAGCTTATCCAAATTGAATTGAATTGCACTTTCGGCTACTTTTCCATAATTTGCTTGTTCATATTTAAGCGTTTACACTGCAGAGATATACAGTAGAAAAGCAACCACAGACTAAAACCTTGAAATCACAGCCATCCGGCGGACCCCACAAGCCTAAAATCACAGCCATTAACCACTACAACACAATTAATTATTGCTTGCTCGGTTGCTTCTCTTCTCTCCAGGAAAAACAGATCTGAGTTGTTGAAACTGAAATTGAAATGCTCGCCACACCGCAAATTCAAGCATAATTATGTGATTTCATTGATTCATGCAATTGATAATTGAATTCCACCTTTTTGCTTTATTCCTTGTATCACTATCATCGTTGTTGTTGTTGTTTCAAAAAGAAAAAGGAAGAACGGGATCGAACCCGCTGAACCAGAACTGCAGTATGGCGGCCAGTGAGCGTCACGTGTTGTTCTGTGCTGTTTTGCTTTGGACATTGGAGCGCGATGAAATGATGAGATGTAGGGTGTAGGCACACACACCCATTCTTTAATAAGTTGGGTTGGGAAGCACCAGCCACCAGCAAGCTTCACGCAATTAAAAGAGACAAACAGATACACATTCTGAATTGCTGACAGACAGACATGCAGACATTTCTTTTCTTAAAGGTCCGTGCCTATCAAACATCAAAGTGCGATGTGCCCAAATCATTCTCTCCCTTTTCTTTCTCTAATTTCTTGGGCAAGCTTCAATTTTTGTTTTTAGGTTGTTAAACCCGTGCTTTCGCGGCTTAGAACTCTGGGCCGGGGGAAGCACAATATGGAACCAAAATTGATCCTAACTGTGATTCTGCTCCTCCTCACTGCAACTGTAACTGCGGATTATGTTCGGCCCAAGCGTCGAAAAACCTTACATTTTCCATGGAAGCCGAGGGATTCTTCTCTTCCCCAACAGGTAGGTAATTAAAGATGCTTTATCTCCTCCTCCTCCTCCTCCTCCTCCTCTGCTTTTTTATTTATAAATAATTATGAATTTTCTACAATTTCATACTTATGCTGATCAGGGCTATGCCTCTTCTAGATTAATGGTAATTAGTTTCTTCCACTTGTATGATCGTCTTGTCTTTTTCTTTCCTTAATTCTTTTTTAGTTTGCAGGTTCACATCTCTTTAGCAGGAGAGAAGCAAATGCGCATCACATGGATCACTGATGACAACAACTCCCCTTCGTTGGTTGAATATGGAACATCATCTGGAGAATACAATTGTGCATCTCAAGGAGAAAGCACATCCTACAGTTACTTGTTCTATAGCTCAGGAAAGATACACCACACTGTCATTGGACCACTGGAAGATAATACTGTTTACTTTTACCGGTGTGGAGGACAGGGCCCTGAGTTCCAGCTCAAGACTCCTCCCTCTCAATTCCCTCTTGCTTTCGCTGTGGCAGGAGATCTTGGTCAGACAGGATGGACTAGCTCAACTCTACACCATATAGGCCAGTGCAAATATGACATTCATCTGCTTCCTGGGGACCTCTCCTACGCTGATTACCTGCAGCACCAATGGGATACGTTTGGTGAGCTGCTACAGCCACTGGCTAGTGCTAGGCCATGGATGGTGACTCAAGGAAACCATGACAAGGAGAGCATTCCACTCTTCAAAGAAGGGTTTGCTTCCTACAATGCCAGATGGAAGATGCCTTTCCAGGAAAGTGGATCAAGTTCCAATCTGTATTATTCTTTTGAAGCTGCAGGAGTTCATGTCACCATGCTTGGTTCTTATGCAGATCATGACGAGTACTCAGATCAATATGACTGGCTGAAGGTTTGTTGTTGTTCATCTGGCTCCTAAACAACTTAGTTACGGCTCATTAGTCATACTCCATTCTCTTAATGGCAAGGGTTATAGTTTTATTATTTCTTGAGGTTAAATGGACCAGCTTTCCCCTTTCTGTGGTGAATAGAGCAGAGAAACTGCTCCATAACAATACATGCCTAAACTATCAGACCAAAAAGGAAATTGAGTGTTCAGATAGTCTCCAACTTGAGAGAATATAACATGGTGTGAATTAGCATTTATCAGCAATAGAGGAACCATGGATCCTTATATCTTTCAGATTGAAAACTGGGGAAAGTTGAGCAGTTTGTATTTCTTTTATTTGTGTGTATGTATAAAGAGAATTTTCTGTTGTGCTTTGGCTAGGCTGACCTTTCGAAACTAGACAGGCGAAGGACACCTTGGCTGCTAGCTTCATTTCATGTACCGTGGTATAACAGCAACAAGGCTCATCAGGGTGAAGGGGACAGCATGATGGCTTCCATGGAGAAATTACTTTATGCTGCTGGTGTAGACATTGTATTCACTGGCCATGTCCATGCTTATGAACGCTCAGTAAGTGATGATGCTGAATCACATTTCCTACTTGTTGTTTTGACCTAAAAGGTTAAAACCATGGCTTATTATAATCTGGTAACTTGAGTGACAGAAACGTGTGTATGGTGGGAAGCCAGATTCATGTGGGGCTGTCCACATAACTATTGGTGATGGAGGAAACAGAGAAGGCTTAGCTCAAGGGTGTGTTTCTCCCTACCTTCTTCTTTATACAGATCAAATCCTTGTTTAAAGTTCTTACTGAATTATTCTCTTGCTAATGTTGCAGTATCATACATATATTCATTTTTTGTTTTTGAGTTAGCAAGGATTTCAGAATATAATTGGTGCCATATCTTCTGTTTTTCCAGACAACTCATTCATCTGGTAGTTATATATTTCTTAAAAGGTGTTGACAAATCCTGTTAATGAACCCTTAAAGGCATACTAGTTTGAAACAAAATATCAATATTTAAATAAAGATTCATTGTAAGTTTGGCATTTTTGGTTGTTTATTGGAAACGACCCTGCATGCCCTCAAATATTTTATTTTTCTATATATTGAATCAATCTTTATGCAACTCTCTAAATGATCTCTGTGGCTGCCTTAATGAAATTTGTAAGTAACATTTTAGTGTTTTCCCCTGGTTATCACAGTTACGAGAAGAATGAATTTCTGAACATGTTTCCATGTTCATTTTAGCCTGTTTTTGTTGTTTAATTGCTTTGAAATGGATTGGCAGATACAAAAATCCAGCACCAGAATGGTCAGTCTTCCGTGAAGCAAGCTTTGGTCATGGTGAACTCAAGATTATGAATTCAACCCATGCACTCTGGAGCTGGCACAGGAATGATAATGATGAACCAGTAAGGTCGGATGAAGTCTGGATAACATCGCTGGCCAGTTCTGGTTGTCTCAATGAAAAGAGTCATGAATTCATGAAGACCTTCATGGTACCATAGGATATGGATGTTTGTATTTGTATTACTTATAACATAATCCTATGTAAATATATGAAGTGAGATCTAATTGGTCATGCTATTGCAGTTGGCACTTGGTCTGGCTTTCACTGAAATGCCAGCGAGGCTTACTGGTTGAATCTTGGTTACTATCCTTCTTGCTCCTCCCAAGTATGATCAGACCATCATCAAACCAAAGTGTGTTAATGACATCTGAAGATCGAATAAGGGAGGAAATTCTGCAACTTGAAATGGCAAAGTTCAGCCAAAAACAAGGTTGCTTACCCAATCTTCCTACAGTTACTAGAATGCCCCCCTCACTGTTCAACATGCAAACACCTTCATGCCCATCAAAACTATGCACCATCTTCCCATGGAACCTCATTGTTCAATAGATGCATCCAAAATGTAAATCAACTTACCGGCAAACTGTTCTGTTCTTGGGATCGTAGTTTCAACCAGGTACAGAAGGATGTTTATATGCTATAAATAGTCATCGAGTGCAAAAATTTCTGGAAAACAAATCCAAAAGACAAGAAATTAGGAAATCATCCGAGTATTAATTATGCTCTTCAGGATTCAAGAGCAATTAAACAACCTCTAGGTCGAGGTTGAAGCAAACGTTGTCCATATCAAGAGTTGGCACCTGCTTCAGCTCTTTTTCTAGTGGTCGTGTATGTAATTTATTAACCACATCAATAAATGTGTATAATCTAGGCATCATCGTAGTTATGAGATATTGCAGTTATGAGTTGTGATGCAAGACAGTGTTGAGGTTTAAAACGGATTGGCAAAACTGAACACACAAAGCACACCTGACACACGTAGATTTGCGTGGATCGGCTTATAACCTAGGAGAATAAATCCAGCAATTGTGATTTACAGTCACAGCCTCACGCTAAAGCTCAAGCTCCCAATGCACTCTAATTGATTTCGATCTCGGAGATCATCGAGTCCCATTTGTGACATCAATCTACGATACCAGGCTACTGCGAGTCTTGCAAGATTCAAATGAGTTGCGAGATCGACTACTGTGAAATTCAATATTTGTGAGATCCAATATCCTGTGAGACTGAATACTAATGATCTTTACGCCCTTCGCTTCTATCACATATCACTATGAAATGTTGCCTTCAGGATTTTTTCAACTTTTTCTATCACATATCACTATGACATTTTGCCTTCAAGATTTTTTCAACTTTATTAATAAGATCAAACATTGAATTCAAGTCACCAACACAACAACATGATACCCTTCAATTCGAGTCTGGAAACAAATAGAGAATTACCCATATTGATTTGTTGAGCACAACCCCTATGCCGATGCCGCTCTACAAGCTCTTCAAATTCTGGGGTAGGTAGGGGTGCTTACGATATGAAGACCAAATGAGAGAAGAGAAGCAACAATGGTGGTGCTAGATGAGAGCAGAGATAAGTTTTGACTTCTGAGTTAAGATATGAAGAATTGAAGGGCGCCGTGAAAGGAGCTTACGGGAGTTGCAACAAACGAAGATTATTTTGGAATTATCATTTAAATCGCATAGGAATGTTAGAATCTCAATAAATATTTATATGTAATTAAAAGAGTGAAAATTTCAAAAAAATATTGTGGCATATTTTCAAATATGTGTTTTGGGGAAAAATAAATGTTACAATTCATTAGTGTAAAGGCATATGTAAATAATAAAAGGGAAAATTCTCGATTAGTACCTTATACTTTGGGCCTAGTGCCATTTTGGTTCTCGAACATTAAAATGCGATAACTCAGTACCGAATTTTCAAAACGTGTCAATCCAGTACCTGCCGTTAATCAACTGTTAATCAGCCATTAAGTGGCATTTGAAAAAGACATAAATGCCCTTCAAGTGTCATCTAATTTTCTTGATCAACCATCCAAATGTTGACAAAAAAATAAGTCCTAAATCATTGTCTCTTCTATCCAAGAAAGTTGGGGTATGTTAATTTTTTGTAAATATTTTTTAATAGAAAAGGCAAGGATTTGGGACTATTAATTTTTTGTCAACCTTTGGATGATCGATAAAGAAAATTAGATAAAACTTGAAGGGCATTAGTGTCTTTTTCAAATGCCACTTAACTTAACAGTTGATTAACGATAGGTACTAGATTGACACGTTTTGAAAGTTCGGGTACTAAATTGTCACATTTTAAAGTTCGGAGACCAAAGTGACACTAGGCCCAAAGTACAGGCTATTAATCGGGATTTTTCCCTAAATAAAAGGTAATGGTATAAATTGACATTATAATCAAACTTCGCACCATAACCATGGCAAGTATCAGCTTTATAATAGATTACTGTTTCTTAAGAAACTATGATTTTTACATGCTTTTTGATACCATGACCATTTTCTCAACAAATGACTATGCCTTGGGGTCCTATAAGGTCCTCAGTTTATAATATTATTTGGGGTGTGAGCTAGGCACCATTAGGTGCTAATATAGGCCAAAATGTCAAAATGAGGTTTTTTTTTAAGAAAACAATCAAATAAGGAAAAAGTAGAGGAGAAAAAAAAAAACAATCAAATAAGAAAAAAGTAGAGTACAAAATAAAACGTTTATTGAGAACTAGGCATCATTAGGCGCCACATCAGCAGAACAGTGAATAAATGTTCAACCGTTGGGGGAAGCGTTAAAATGAAACTTCCCCCAACGGTTGGTGTGCACATAAATCAAGACCAACTTTTGTGAATACCTATGTACAATGGACATGATGGGATAAATGTTGATTTGGCAATGGCATGGCACCATTTATCAAATAAACAGAAATCATACAAAGCACCGCCATAGAAGAAATGCTTTGGAGAAACGTTATATCTGATATGGGGCATGTATCAATATCGGTTTGTAATACGAGATACGCACTACATCCATTCAGTAATATCCATAAAAACACAAATAAGGTGATTCAAAGTCACCTCACGTACATTTAAAAGTCACTACATTTCCAAACCAATAAGCCACGCTTCATTTCGTTTAAATAAAAAATACATATTTATGTTTAACAAAACCAGTAAGCCACGCTTCACTATGTTTGTTTCCAAACCAATAAGACACTACTTTTTCTATTCACATACAATTTAAATAAAAAACACATATTTATATTTAACAACTCTAACTAAAAATTAAAAAATAGTACTTTATAAATTAATAGAATAAATAATGTATCAAATCCACATTTATATAAAAAAATATTATTCTTCAGATCAAGATATTTATACAAATAGAATATTAATAATAGAATAATTATTTTAATACTTAAAATTTATAAATTTGCACATGATATAAATCTTAAATTTTTTATATACTTTTATTAGTTATTAACTAAAATTTTAATTTACATTAATAAGTAATAACAACATATTTATTAGTTACAAAAAAAATAAAAATATTATATACAAAATATTGAAGAATATAATATTAAATTGAATCTATCAAATTCACTAATCTACATTTATTTCAAAAAAATTGATTTTTTATTTTAAAAAATTTATATAAATAAAAATATTAATAGTGGAATAATTATTTTAGTAATTAAAAACTTTGAATTTGTATATGATATACATCTTAGAAATTTTAACAAATTTGATATACTTTAAGTTAAGATTATATTTTTATAAACTATTAATTGATATTTTAATTTGCACTTGAAAATTTAATATTTAGTTGACTTTTTCTTAGTGTTAAAAAATTAAAATTGTAAAATAAAAATAATTGATATAACAATTAAAATATAATAGGTGCATATGTTTAATGTCTTGGACTCTTGATTGATGCACTATAAATAAAATTATGCATCCCGGTTCATTAATCGTAATATATTTCTTCATATATATCCTTAATATTTATATTTTTTATGCATTTATATACTATTTTGTGATCATTTTAATCTTAAATTTAGTGTTATTAATATATTTATGAAATTTGTATATATTTTTCTAACGTATCCATGCATTTCCATCTTTTTCGTCTACATCCATATGTTTCCAAAATATATCCGTATCCGAGTTGTCTGATACAATACCCAATACCGATACTTTAATCCTTGGATACCACTAGAGTGGGTGCAAGTTAACTAATGGGCGTGCTTGCCCTTAAAATATTTCACTCAATTTAAATAAATTGATTGCAAATTATATGGGGTGTTTAATAGAATGCAAACTATAGGACAGGTTTTAATAAATTCATGAAACCATAGGGTTGACCCTAAAAACAAATACATATCATACACAACAATATGAGGCAATGAAACATCGATATTTTAAACCTTAATTTCATCACCACTAATCTGTCCCTTGCATATTGGAGCCCATCTCTTAGTAAAACCACTTTCTTCTTACTACAAATCAAAAAGATGAGACCACTGTTAAAAGTACATCTGTATATTTCCTGGTTTGATAAGAGGAAGCTCCTACTGGTAGGCTTTATGCCTTTATCTAACGAACTTCCAAACACCAAAACCAAAAAAGCCAACAAGAGTATTGGCCCAACTAATCATTTCTTCAGCTCTTCATTGTTGACATTGGAAATAAGATCACTCTTTTAAGTGTTTAAAACTGCATTTGGATCTTGACAGGAAATGGTTTCAATCATCAATTTTTGAACTTTGACCCATACGACTTTTAGACATGACACATTTAAGTGAGTTGTTCCTATCCTCTGCATGTTGTCCACCTTTTGCCATATGTTTGAAGATTGGGCAATTTAATACCCAAATCTGGATCTCCCCTTGGTAGGAAAAAAAAAAATCCTTAGATTGCATACATATTTAGGATATGTTTCAGTCAATAAAATACAGAAGCATAGATTTCAAAGTCTAGTATTAAGGTTTCCTGTCTTTTCATCGTAAAAATCATACAAAAGAAATTCTCAGGCAGAAACAAAAATTAGAACATACAAAATTTATACAACATATTCCAATACAACAGCTAAGCTTTCTTAACCATTTATAGTCAATCTCAAGAGCTCAACAGCTTCTTTCAATCTTCTTTCTGTGCCGTCCTTCACAGGCAGAAGGCGGGCATTCCTACATAAAGGCAGGGAAGACTGTCAGAAAAAGAAAAATATTAGTGACAAGAATTCAATTTTGATGATAACCAGGCTTGTCCTGTGCAGAACAAAATCCTCCATAATCTCACCTCTTCTCATTGCTTGTCTTGCGTTTGAGGTCCTCAACAAGTGTATGCAACCTCTTTAAGAGATAAGGGAATTGGTGTACCATTTCAAAACCTTTCTGCCTTGAACACAACTTCTTCAAGAGCTCAGAGGCAATGAAATATCCTTCCTCTTTGTTCCTTTAACATTCAACCAAGACAAAGGAAAAAAGCTAATGAGTAAAAGAAGCATATAGCACATAATCAACTTTTATTTATGAATTAACTAACCTAAACAACTCCCAGAATATTGTTTCTATGGATCCATGCGTATCTAGCAGTGCTTCTGCTAAATGTGGATATCGGGCAAGATTTCTTAGAGTAGAGAGTGCATGTTTCAGAACTTCCTGATCAGGAATACTACGGCTGGTTGAGCGGATCAATTTCAATAGTGTCTCAATTGCCCCTGCAGACACGAGCATCTCACAGCACTTCTGAGAATGCCTGGTAGCCATATCTGCATGAAAATAATTAACAGGATAAGACCGTTTATGTTATGCATTGATGCAGCAACTAGCTGGACATGTAGTTTCAGCTAACAGATTCATCACTAAATGATCCTCCTCAATTTGCACACTAAGATAAACCTTCCCATAGTACTAACTAGTGCACAATTTGTAACATCATAACATGGTTTACAAAAGCATTTAGGGTTGAAAATGTTTGAACTGAGAAATTACTTATTTCAGCAACTTAGAAATCAGTGACAACTGCAATGTATTCCAAAAAAGATACCAAGCCATTGAAGGGTTAGTAATATCACTATTCACAAACTGGAAAAAACCACATAACTTTATCCACTCAAGAAGATTAAAATGTTACTAAGAAAAACCCAGGTGCACTGATCTAGTACCAACTCAGTGGCAAGAATAGAAACATCTGCAGCAATCACCCATCCAGAAATTATCTCAAGACCAAGAAAGAGATCTTACCCAAAGTTGCACAAGTGTGAAGTATGCTACTGACACTTCGTATGCTAAGTAGTTCTGAAAGTGCGGCTACAAGCCGATTTATAAGGCGCATGTTATCATCAACATTTGCAGCAGATTTTTGCACCCTGATACGCAAATCCAATAATTTCCCCTTTGACTCTTTTCGTGCAATGTAACCTTTCCAATATGACTGTCAAATAAATAAAACAAAAATTAAAATGACGAGCAAAACAATTAAAAGAAATTGGCAATAACAATTTGGATTTAGCAGAAAACCAAACAATGCTTTTCCCTTTGCCAAATTTTAACAAGTTAAAATCAGTTTAACAAGGCAAGCACATAGATTAAGCTCCTTGAGGACAGGAGCATATGATAATGAACAATCTCAAAGAGAAAGCTAATATTCAGAGTAGATCCATTAGTACAAAAAGAAATTGGGACAACCCTACAATCAATAGACTTGACAGTACATGCAGCAGCAGGCTTGAGAACAAGCAGGTCTCAAGAAAAGACTGCATATTCTATGAATTGGAAATCATGGTGAGAACAGTCACTCAGTCTTAGGAATGAAAACAGAATAAGTACTCCACAAAAATCCAATGAAAGCATGCTGGGGTGTGAAAAGTGAGAAGCTTCTAAAACAAGGAGCATATCCAAGTGTTTGTGTGTGTGTGTGCATGCACACATGTGGTTGGGTGGGTGGGGGAAGGCCAGGGGATGTATGCATCAGTATGAATGATGAAGGTGATATGTACTTCAGTCACTTAGTAATGTGCAAGTGTATGCCAGACAGAAAGTATGAACAAGTGAATTAAGTACTATATGAATATTTTTTCGTATGTGCACATTAGAGTCTGTGTGAGTTGTTGCACAAGTGAATTGGGCAGAGGCTTTTAAGTTTAGCTACACTGAGAAGGTTCAAGGTAGGGTGTGTACCAGGAGTGTAAATAGAGTGAAACCAAGGTGAATGAGATCATATCTGAATTCAAATTCAAATGATTAATTTAAATTTCTTAATCTGAATCAGATCTAATTATTTTTTATATTAAACCCTTTATAAAATAAAGAAATAACCTGTAGTATAATTTTATTAGAGAGAAATAAAGGGTGTTTAGGTCATCTCATATGTATATATTAATGGTGTAATCAGTTTGGATGTTTATTGGATCAAATCAGGCCATATCTGAATTCAATCCAATAAACTAAATGGTATAAAAGACAAAAAAAAAAGTAAATGTATTTCATATCTAAATTCAACCAATCACTATATATGAATTATCTGAATTCAATTCGATATTGTCAAATCTTGAATATGAAATTGGATTTTTGAATACTATTTAGTATTACACCCCTAGTGTGTACCATATAGGTAGGCATTTTAGTATCATTGAAGAGAAAAGGCACTGCATAAATCCCACATAGATAGGGAGAGGAAGACTAATACACTTACACTCCCATATCAAAAATTTCTTCTTTGTACTGAAAGTGAAGCAGTAAAAAGGTTGGAAATGGGATACTATTTGCTTTCCCAAGATACTACATCAAAATCCATTTTTTTGTGGAAATAGAAATGTTCTAGCCTCTAATGTAATGAACCATGGTTTTAAAGTTTGCAAAAACCCCCCACTTCTGGTCACCAAAATGTTCCGCTATTCTGCTCACCAAAATGCAAAATCGGCAACCAAGTTGAGAAATCCCATACTTTAGCTACACCAGGAAAAATACCCTAGATTCTTTAACATATTTTTCTGGTATTAAGCCATCAAACCAGGACATACATTGTTTTTCTAGATGTATATCATCCATGTATGGGGCAAAGATTCTTTAATTGGAAGTAAAAGAAAACAGTTTTGATAAGAAAATCAAAATGTAGTTGTGGAATGAAAACACAGAGTAAAGCACCACTGAGAAAGAATAGCAATGGTTAGATGTACTGTACTTGAATGACAACAATGCGATGTCTCTCCCTATTTGCTTTTTGTTTAGCAATCCACCTACGAATGTGAGACTGAATTATGATTGCAGATCTTGTTCTGGATTTGAGCAACAAAACTCTCTTCCACCATCTTTGCAGCTTCAGAACTGAATGTAACAAAATTTTTGATTCAAGGCTCTCGAAGCAATCTGTTGAGATCTGTTTCTTGCAACCCTTGTTTATGGTAGAGTGAAGACAAGAAGCAGCTGAAGTAATACAATAAAGGAAATATTAAGTTCTGAAGTCAATTTAATATCTTAAACCACAAGTTGAAAACAATTACTGCAAGGAATTATGACCATAAAATGCATACAGAAGCAAATTAGTTAATAAACCAGTAAGGAAAAGAAAGTCCAATACGAACTTGATATACTTTGAGCAACTTGCCCCCTGACAAATCGTTGAATTTGAATAGCTGCACTTTTGTAATGTTGAAATGTCTTCCAGCATTTTTGGCATCGAAGAGCACTCTGGATCTTTATTGTTGCATCTCTTTGACATAAAAATTTTCTCCTCATCAAATAACATCGCCAATGGCTCTGGATTTATTGCAAAAAACAATGTTTTATGAACCATAGATTATATTAGCATCATCCTCAATGAAACAAGCCTAGGTATGTTACATACTGTTAGCATTGTCACTTGATTGGATCGTGATTATGATCTAATCCAATTAAGCTGAACACAGATCCTAAGTTATAGATCCATCATATGCATAAGAACACGTATATAAAACAAACATTTTAACATTTAGGTTAGATTTTGTTGAAGGCGTGTAATGTTACCTTATTTAGAGATGGCAATGGGGCAGGTTCGAGGAGGGTTTTGTAAATTCTAGACCCTACCACCTCCTTAAACCTCCCAACTCATACCTTCCCCAAAACCCGTAGCAGGTTGGATTTTAAGAATCCAAACCCTCACCAGCCCCCACACATTAAAATGCAAAACCCTCCCCACCCCTACCTTCCCCGCATTCAAAGGAAGGGTGGGTTGGATTTAGACCCACATCTAATTTCCTATTATTTCTTGTTATATATAAGCAATAAATAAGTAAAATAACATAAACAAACAACAAATTTCCAATTTATTTGATTAAGACATGTAAAAAAAACATGAGCTATCGACTATCCTTGCATAAAATTCAAACTATTATTAAATTTAGCACCTAATACATAAAGTTCATATGTTTTCCAATAATATGCAGATTGGGGAGGGTTGGATTTAGCCTAATACCGTACCCTACCCATATCCATGCGGGTTGTAGAATCCCAAAACCTGTCCCCACCCCAAAATCCCTTCAAGCAAAAAAAATCTGCTCCTTCAGGGCAGGTAGGGGCAGGGACCCACCGGGTAGAGTAGAAATTGCCATCCCTAACCTTATTAAGGTAATGAGAGAAAAAGATTCAAAGGCTGAGTCGCACGATGTAAAAAGAGAATTATGAGCATCTTACTCTAAAAGAACTTCAAACCTTCAAATACCAACTAAGCTAAGATTTTGGAATCCAAGAGTAGGATCCAAATAATGATACAACATCTTAAGAATAGCATATTAGGATTTCAAGATGGATGAATTGGATTGCTAGGCAAAACAGAAGCAAGTCGATCATACCATCAAATAAACTGCTTAAAATTTATCTGAAGGCAAGTCTAATTAAACAAAATAAAAATGTGCATGACTTCAAAAATCAGGTGAAAATAACAAATGACATGAGAGAAATTCTAGAGAGAGAAGAAAAACTTACTTGGAGCACAACAATGTAATGATATTTTCTTCTAAATTCACTTCGCGCAATCCATCCACGAATGTATGACTGAATTATGGTTGCTGACCTAGTTTCCAGTCTATACTGTTGAAAATATCTTTGATGTTTTAGACAGCGAATAAGGTTCTGAATCTTTATTATTGCTTCTCTCTTGTACAGAAACTCTTTTCTCATCAGCCAACCACAATAGTGACTCTGTATCACGGTTGCAGCAGAGCACTGCTTGGAGAGAGAATTCTGGAAAGAAAATTTTCTCCACGCAAGCTGAATTGTAATAGCTGCCTTCATTTGAAGATTTTTGGCATGCAAAAGTTCAATTTTACGAAACTCAGCAACCCTGACATGATATTTAGACCTTGCTATGCACCCACGAATACATGACTGGATAACACTTGCAGCTCTGACCAGATCAAGCAAAGATTTACTCTGACGTCTTCGAATGATCCAAGCCCTTGCAGCCTGCTGAATAAGCAGAACAGACTTCTTTAACTTGATAAAGCTGAGCCTGTCGACCATGAACCTAGAGTATCTTACAAAAATATCCAGATGTTTCTGGCTCCCTGTGCAATTAATCCAAATGTATCAGGGAATGTAAGTATGAGTTTTGATTAAGATGTCAAATAATATAAACAGATTATGGCAAAAGTGCAACAAATATTACCAACAGATAGTTGGTCGACCATAACGTTATTGAAATTGATAAATACTCCTCTTCGTTTAACCATTAACCAAGACCGAATAACAGTTTGTAAAAAGGAAATTGCAGCTTTCATCTTCAAAAACTTGTGTCGTACAATCAATCCTCTGAAGTTAGATTGTATAATTTTTGCAGCCCTTTCTGGAACCATCAACAGTTCAGTTAAACAGGATAAAATGGCAGATATAAGTTCAAGACGTGATTGTAGAACAAAGAGTGGCAACAATGCTCCTTATTTCTATGAAGAATTGCAAGCTCCATATGTAAGAAATTTACATTGAAAAAGGTCTGTGAAAAGAGGAAAGGACAGGCTCAGATCTGCTACCCACATCTCTACCCACAAGATATTACAGCTGTGCATTGGGAATATCTCCTTTGCCATTCATGGGAGATGTTGTTAGACAGTGTATGCCCTTAGCTCCAATCAGAATGATGTACATTATGACATTTAATGTAAATGAACAAAGTACATATTTGATTCATGTTATTATGGTGT